CCATCAATCGGGCTTTCGCATCTTAGCGATTGACTTTAGTCTGCAAACAACTGTAGTCTGGCTCAAGCAGATGTTCATGTAGGAACTTCCCATTTCCGGAAAGCGCCTTGACTTTGCCCTCTAATCTCTTGTTCGGGGCTACTCCAAAAGTGCGAGCCACTGGCTTCCGTAATTTGATGTACATATAGTACTCACTACTTTCACTATTGGAAGCTAGTGAACGTCCTTTTCAGGTTACTGCCCTCTCGGTGATCGCTGACAATGCCTCCACCCAAAGGCAATGGCCAGAGAGGCGGCTGGCGAACATCTCAAAAGCAACAGCGAGAACTGGACGCGAAAATGCACCAAACGCTTCGTTCGCTTATGTTCGCTGCCTATGAACGGGAGGAGGAGGAGCGACAGTACGTTATGGGTATAGCTACATCGATGCCCCATAGTTAGTATTTAATTCACCATTTTAGGAAAGCCTTTGCTGACGCGCAACGAATAGTGTCGTGAGTTTTCCAGTGTCATTTACGGAAACGTTGATAAGTCGTAATGGGAAAAGTTTAGCGGAACGCAAATCGGTCTGGCGAATGTGAAGGATGAGCTGGACGATGAATGTGATCTGGAGCTGGAACCGCGATTCGATGTTAAACCTATCCGTCGGCCCGTACCGGTCGAACCTGAACCACAATCAGAAACCGATCGGTTGGATATACCCGATCCATCGCTGCAGGTGAGTTGCATGAGTTCGGTTTCTCTGTTTTCCCGTTTTGATCATTCCATTCAAATCATCGATCAGATAGGGCTGGGAGTGCTGCATACATGCCGAAGATTAGGCTGGGATTCAATCATAGAAAGCGTTTGGGTCTACCATTATCCCTGGTCTAAGCACTGTCTGTCTGGAATATTTTGAAGCCCGTGATTCAACCCATAGACGTAGGAATGAGATTTTGTAATAAAGTGGCGAAGAGGTGGCAAGTGGTGCGCTACTACACGTATGGTCCTAGGATCGAATCCCCAACTGTTCCTACGTGGCTCAACCAAACTTTCTACGGGTTGGGTCATTGGTACCAGACTAGTATGACAAAATAATAGGAGTGAATTGTACTACGACTATCAAACGCAATTCATTGTGTAGGCTGCATACACAATCAGTAACCCCCCTCTCCACGACTGTGAGTTGAAATCTAATGCGGGGCGCAATCCAAAATGGGATTGATTAACCTGAAGAATTCATCATTTATTCTAATAAAGGGCGAAATCGCGCCGATGCAGATCTCGCAGCGCCCTTTGTGTTCAGTTTAGGAAATATTTATTCAAATTTGCATTGTTTTTGCAAGGTACATACCGGCAAATATCTCGTTTCTGAGATGGTGATAGAAGACATTCTTACGAAGCGAACAGTTCGGAAGTGACACAATGAGGGCTCAAAGTTAGGTAGCAGAATCGATCCGCACAGATAGACAGGGAAAACACCTAATACTCTTGCATCTTGCACACGGTGATCGGAAATAATAGCGCTTACAGATGTCCTCTTCATTGGAGCCTTTTTCCTGCCCTTCGAGATTGTATTTTCACAAAGGAGTTGATTCACGTATAGTTCTTTTTCCACAGAAGTCGACTGAAAACTGAGTTTTGTTGTTCAGAGCCGTCCTGTAACTCGATCAACAGTGCGTCAACAGGTTGTGGAAGACGATGAGTACGTGGATGAGGTAGAAATCGTATTTTCTACTCGGAGCTCTTCTTCTTTGCACTATTTTCTCAGGAGTAATTCTTTAGATTGTATCAGACAACGAGGAACTTTTCAATGCCCATGAAGAGAAGCTCAAGGTCTGTCTCCTTTCATGATACGCCGTTTTTGGGTAGTTATTCAGAAAAGAGGAAGCTTGAGCAGCTTCTTGTCTCGTACAAGTTATTATTTTTATTTTTTGTTAAAATCCATTTCATTTCAGATACAGGGTGACTCAATGCGAACTGATGACATCGCTATCAGCGAACCTTCTGAGGTAATCGTTTACAACTGCAGGACTCAACTAAGGACTGTAGTAGCATTTTCCGAATATTTTCTCAATGGTGGCGGAGTCGGTGTAGTGGCAAGTAGCACACACTCTCACACTCGTGATCCGGGGATCGAATGTTTGATAAATATCGTCTAATCCAACTGAATCTTCAATCCAACGAGGGTCTCTTAATTCTTACAAGACTCACAAGAGGGGATAAACGAATCAGAGACTGACTTGTTTGTAGGCTAGGCACCGTCATTTTATAGGCAACCCACATTTAAAAGGTCACTACCGTTCTGATTAGAAGTGGAATGCGGGGCGCATCCCAAAAGTGGATTGACTAAGTCAAAAATTTTCGTCTTTCCTGTTCTGATCCAACAACTTGCTCATGGCGCGACCAAGGA